TATATATATATATATATATATAAGAAGAGACAAAAAAAGTCATAGTACAGAAATAAAACAATGCAAATATTACAAAATATTACAAAAAAGTGTATAAATCACTCGTTTTTCTAAAGTAAAAATATCCAGCAGAGACACTAGCAAGTAAAGTTATAGTGGGAGTCTGTGTCTCTCTCACCTCCCTTGAGCCCCCCTAAAACATGCAGAGAGTTTGCTGGGGGGTAATTGAGAATGAATGGGGGAAAGTCACGTGAGAGGAGGCAATGCCTCCTTCGCAAAATGATTGGATATGACTGCTTATGATCGACTATGATTGGCTCTGCGCGTTCCATGCTCGCCAATCAGTCTGAATGAACAAAATGATGGCATTAATGGGAAGTCTAATTAAATAGTAAGCAATACACACACTTATATACCGCCACTTTGTCACGTCAAAATCAAACTTCAAATGGCCTGGAAACATGAACTGTGTTTTTTTTTGTAGTGAACAATCAGCTTGTTGAAATTAAAGGTACATCTTCGCATCTGTGACCAGTGTTTATTGAGCTCTGATGACTGATGATCCAAAAATAAGTTTCTCTAAAAAGAACAGCTGAACATCAGTTCATAAATAAAATATATAATTGTTTAAATAAAATATATTGCATACATTTTTACTGCCTTGAGTTATTCATTTGGAATAAATGCAAAATGCTTAAAAACACTAAACTGATGCGATGTATACTTGGTTTTAATAAATAGAATAGCCTATTAATTACATTGTTAATCTAAAAATACAAAATATATTTTTATTTTGGTAGTGTAAGTAAAGTTTATTTAACTAAGAAAATGTGACTGGGACATGAATTTACGTTTTATAAAAAAAAAAAAGTGAGGACTTTGCCTCCTCATTTCAGATCACCGCTGCACGCATATATTTACATTACATTTAGTCATTTAGCAGACGCTTTTATCCAAAGCGACTTACAAATGAGGACAATGGAAGCAATCAAAATCAACAAAAGAGCAACAAAAATATATAAAGTCAAATTATTAGAACACTAGTATTTTCACCAGCTAAAAATGGTTTTAAGTCAGTTATTTCTATCTTTTGCTGTAGTGTGTCAGTAGGAAATATCAGTGTACATTTCCGAACATTCATTTTGCCATTAATTGTAATAATTCAGTGAGATTTTTGTTTGCACAAGGAGTCTGACAACAGCCAGTGCTCCACACAGAGATCTGGGGCCAGTTGCATAAACTTAGCCACCATGTTAAGACTGTGTCTTAAGAACTAGTTTGACCAACTAGCAGTTGCCAAGGGGTAATCAGTCTTACTTTTCCAATACAAATAAGAACAATCTACCTTTTCATAACTGAATTAAAAAAGCTATGACCAGTCTTGAAGAAAACAAATTAGGTGACTAACTTTTTAAGACTAGTCTAAACAGTTTATGCAACCGGCCCCTGTTTGTGTTTCAGTTTCATTGAAATTTGTGAGTTTGTACCGGTTTCAGTTTGGTGAATGCCAAGATGAAATATGAACATCAAAACCTCTTTGTTAAAAAAAGTACATGGATTTTAAAGTACATGGATTTTTCTATCTATCTATCTATCTATCTATCTATCTATCTATCTATCTATCTGTCTAATACAAAATTATTCATTAAAAAAGTTCAGAGGTACAATCAAAATTTTATATCATTAAAATATAAAAATTAAAAAATATGACTAATATGAGTAATATTATCAATTATAAAGGAGAAAAATACAAGAGCAAAAATATCAACAATTTTATGACTTCTCTTGACCTTATATACTGTATATCTCAGAGGTAAAAATTTTAATAATAAATCAATAAAATTTCAAAATATCAACAGTAAAATATATATGGCTAGTGTAATTGACCAATATATGGCTAATATAATTAATATTAATGTATACAATTTTGGATTTTTTTAATAATATAATTTTGATTTTAATTTTGTCTTTATATATATATATCAAAAAGTAAATGTATATGGCCAATAACTGTTAAACAGCTAGTATCAAAGTTCTGTCCTATAATTAGAATATTAACAAAGAATAAATAAGAGTAAAAATATAAAAAATGTAAATATTGCTTCTCTTGACCTTTGCCCTCTGATGTCATTCTCTTCCTCTCATTGACCTCAGGAGAGTGAGGGAGACTGGAACCTGGTGTTGGTTGTTGCGGTGGCAGCAGCAGCAGTTCTTCTCATTCCCAGTTTCACCAGAGCTCTGGCCTGAGTGCTGGACAGGAAGTGACCTCATCATCCCACTCTGCCCATGGTACACAATTCTATCACCCCGACCACACTTATCCACCAATGGGAACTGAAAACCATCACTCACCTGGGACATACGGGAACACTATAACACATCGCTTCCAAACTTGCCGCTTTTTGGTGTGCATTGTGATGCTGGTTGTTTGCCGTTTCAACTGCTTTGCTCTGCTTTTGTAGACAATCATATCCGTTTCGACCAGCAGTGCTACAGACACTGGCGCCATGCTGTGGGTATTTAAATGGTCAGAATGGAGGACGACTCCAAGAGCTTCTGATTGGTCTGACTCCCGCTTTCCATTTCATCAGTTGTTTTTTCTTTCCCAAAACTTTGCCTTATCACTTTACAATAGAACATTTGCACATTTTACCTCTGTAAACAGATTCCTGATCTCTTGGGGACCGAAGAGGACACCATTCTTCATCAACAATGCTTTGGATGCAGCGTATTGCTTTGTGCTTCATTGCTTTTCGATTAGGTAGGAGCATGCAGTACTTATTTAATCTTCCTGGATCTTCCCATTTTGAATAATTACGTACCGAAGTCTCAATACTGTCAGAATTGTTTGTGTTTAGGTTCAGTAACCGAGAACTTCTTTCACTTTAGACCATGGCATGTTCTCTTTGGTTTCTAACTCAAAAGCTCTGTAGTTAACTGTACAGTACTTCTCTATATGCTAGCAAAGGAGAATACTCTCGTGATGCATACTATTTGTCATTTTTACATTAATTTTGGTGAAAAAAATCCAGAGTTTGAAGACTCCAGGTGGGTTAAGGTTATTCCAGCAGGTAACCGTGCTTATTTTAAACTTACAGATATTTTTGTATCTGAATTGTTTATTCCAAGAAATTTGTAGATTGATTTTGTGTGTGTAGATTGTTAATTGATGCTAAAGAGTGATAGATATTTTTATATAAGCATTGAATAATGTATAAGCTAAAAGAGAAATGAGTGTAATGAACAAGCACAGATCTACTGAAAATTCCACGATGCATTGATGATTATTTGCTGTTGTTGTTTTTTTTTGCATGCTTGCAATGACAAAACACAGACAACTTATACTGTATGTCTATACAATCTCTTCTCTGCAAGGAAGCTGACAGAGTTGGAACATTTTTAAAGAAAGAAGAAAATGTCATGAACTGGTGGTTCTCAACTGGTGCCGGGACCCAAAAATTAATTGCAGGTCATTTATTTCAGGAAAAACAATCCTAAAATAAAGTTAAAATACTGTAGCAAAAGGAAAAAGCTTATAAAAATGCACATTAAGACCTGAAATGCATATCTTTTGTAGTCAGTAAATCTTCCCAAATCATATCATGCATATCACTGGACCTATGCAGTTCACGTTAATATACATTTTTGACATTATTTTTAAATACAAATTTTTTTTGTGGGTATTTGGTTGCCACTTGATGTCAATGTAAAAACCAGTTGAGAACTACTGTCATAAACCCTTACAGAAAACCATAACAAAGATGTTTCTTACAATGCAATTCAAATCTGTAGCATAAATAAATAGCATGAATTGATTATCTAGCTAATAATAGTGCTAGAAGCAGAAACTTCCATATTGCCTTTCAGTTATAATGGTAGGAAACTTGTCTTAAATTATGTATATTTCACTAAAGACGTTTAAAACTGAGAAATATGTACTTATATGTAGCTTTTTACATCAGAGTTCACAATTTTAAGTCTTTGTGTGGATGGGGATTATTACAGACGTACCTTCCTTTATGAAGTTTAATAATAGTGTCACTGAACTCATATCCATGTAATGATTCTAGTAAATGAATGCGTTAAGCCATGAGGTACTATTGTTATGAACAGAATCTATGACTTTATACTTACAGTATCTATTGCTATATAATCGTTTCTGGTATACACACAAGTTGTCTTCACCTGATGTCTTTTGGTGTCATTTTCAACAAACCGCACTAAGTAGACTTCTTATCAAAGTGACTAAATCATAGTAGACATATGTGCTTGTAGACGGCTGACTAGCGCTGTGGCAGTGATCTTTGTAGTGTGGTTTTAAGACCTGCCATTAGTTGTTGTTGAGTGTTTGGGAATATCTGCAGTATCCCAAGGTCGTTCCAGTGCAGTTTTCTGCTATCCCGTTGATAGACTCAGAACTCAGTGGTAGCACAACTGAATGTTCAATGTTTCAATGGTCAGCTGATATTCTATGAGACAGTGCATGCTACACAGTGATTTGTCTTTGAAATAAACGTGCTATTTGTCCTGCACTGCATTGGAAGGTTTGTTACATTGATGAAATGGAATATGAAAACTTTCACATCGGAAGGAG